AGAAGAAAATGTGACGGTTTATTTGAACACTGTTTTTATGCCCCACTTTCTCACTAATTAGCCTATCTTTTTTGAGAAAAAGCATTACGGCAAAATTAGAAGATGGAAAAATGTCTTAGCCTGTCTATCTTTGACTAAATGGTCTCCTTTTTAAAATTTATTTTTCAGTATTGAAATATTATTCTCAATAAGGCCCAAAGGATAATTACTTTCCAGAAATATAGTTGTCAGTCGTTCTAACTCTTTAGTCAAATGTTTGCTATCCGCTAACCTCAAACTTCAAAGTATAATTGACTTCTAAATTCTAACTATAGTCTTGTCACTATGTTTGGAAAGAAAATTAAGCAGAATCAACATATGTTGGTTTTATATAAACATTTATTCCTAACCTACCCTCTTCTCTATTGGTGAGAACATCCAGAAAAGTTAAGGACTTATTCCCTTCCATTTCCATCGTGAACCTAATCTTCCTTTAAAGCTGGTCGAGTGAAAAAATGAAACTATCTAAACTTTCCTTACCATTAGGCCAGATTACAAAATAGTCATCCATATATCTAACCAAAAACTTGGGGTTTACCAGTACCTCTTGCCATATAATTGTTCGCTAAGATGGGAGCTATGCAAGATCCCATAGCTAATTCTTGTGTTCGTTCGTATAACTTACCATCAAGGGTAAAATATGTGGTACTTATGAATTGGTTGATAAGTTTAATAATGGAAGTTTCATTCAGCCTTATTCCTTGTTTTATCTCTAGATGTTTGTATCAGAGCCTCTTAAAGAGAAATTAATTTAAACTTATAAATGTATAGATTTAAGCTAGCAAACCATAATCATTTCAAGAAAAAGATTCTTACTAATTTACTGATGATCTAGGCTCTTATTTAGGCTCACTTAGAGAAAATATGCGGTTCATCACATGTTCGACAAGTCGATTGATAAAAATAGGTTTCTTGAAGTTTTCAGTTAAAAGCAGTCATTTTAAGGTGAAATCGGGAACAATTAAGGCCCACATTAACTTTTTCGCACAGTAGCAAAATACTGTTGCACAATGGATACATTTATTTGACATTATCAAAAAGCTAATTAATTTTTTCTTATAATATTTATTTATATTTTTATTAACTAAGATTGTTTTAAACCATTTTCCACAGGGGAGCCCTTTTCAGCTTCTTCACGTGAGCAGCCATGGTATAAATCTTTTGATTTCTTCCTGAGTGTTAATCTGTCATTTTATAATTTTTATTTGATGGTCTGTTCCATTTTTTATGGCTTATACCTTTTGCTTACTTTTTTGGAGTTTAGATTGATTATTCCATCAGGATTTCTATTCTCACCCATATTTAATTGATACACATATTTGCATTTGATGGTCGTGTTTTGGGATGGTTTTACTGCATCTGTATATTATTTTTGTTTTTAATATCAGCTCAAAAGGCAGTCTAGATTGCGCCGCGAGTTTATCTACCGGCGTTCTATTGAATTGCGGGATGTAAAAGCGAAGAAGAAACGTGCAGAAATTAAAGCAGCTTTGGCAGCTGGTCGTAAGCTCCCAAAACATTTAGAGGCCGATGCTCTTCGTTTGAATGAAGAACTGGACTGGAGTGATGATATGAGTGACGGTAATTGAATTCGAAATGCAGCGTTCTTCCCTTTCTCAACCTTTACATCTTTTAGTATGTTTGTGTAATTTTAATCACAATAGCTGACGAATGGTAATGTTTTTCAGTGCTCTTATTAAAAATATGTTGAGCAGACCAAATATCTTAAAGTTTCGTCAGCCAACTGTTGCTAAAAATAGCATTCTTGGAATACAGATTTCGAATATCGCTATTCTGCGTACTATTATATTTTACTCAGGTTTTTCCCATCTATAACATTTATGATGTATGCATAGTATGAGGCATGCTATCCTTATTTCTTATCAGCTGATGGGCTTGCAGAGGACGATGAATACTTTTGGGCTGGCTCGGAGGATCCTAGAGTTGTGATTACTACTTCTCGTTCACCGAGCACCAAATTACAGGAATTTTCCAAAGAATTTCGTTTCCTGATCCCAAATGCCACGAAGATAAATCGAGGAAATTATCTTGAAAAGGATCTCGTCGAAGCACTTCTGGCAAAACAAGTAGGACATTGAATTAATTTTTCCTTTATTCCCGTCCATATTTTAAGCGGCGTCCTATTCCCTTCCATAGTTGTTTTATGGTCTGTACGGCCCGGATTGAATGCTTTACTATGGCCTGAAAGCAGATAATTGTTT